GGGGCTGGGGTGGGGCAGTGGTGGGCCAGTGGCCAGTGGCACTCTGTCTGCAGCAGCAAGATGGGGTGTGGCGAATGGGGCTAGGTGGGAGGGAGAAAGAAAAGGAAGAAAGGGAGGAAAATGGCACAGTGGGAGCCAGCAGGTGGGGGTCTGGGGGACCCAGGGTGGCAGTGGGCCAGTGGCTGTCTAGCCAAAGTGGGGTAGCGTGGCCCGGCAGGAAGGGGTAAAGATGGGATACCGGGCTAGGTGGGAGGGAGAAAGAAAAATAGGAAAGGGGAAAAAAACGGTGCAGGGGGAACCGGCAGACGGGGGTAGGGCAGAGCCGGGGTGGTAGTGGGCCGGTGGCTCTCTGTCCAAGGCAGTATGGCGTCGCCTGGCAGGAAAGGGTGGAGGTGGCATATGGGCAGAAGGGTGAGGAGTGGGAAAACCTGTTTCTCTGGTTACCAGGTGCTGTCTCCTGTTGGGAGCTCTGTGAAGTTGCCTTCCCATACTCCCTGTCTGGGATTGTTGCTGACTATGCTCCAGGATGGCGACACTGTGTCGTGTTAGTTGGCAGGGGACCTCCACTCCACATCTCTCCTCATTCTCTATGTTCCTTCAGTTCTTCCATCTGGTGTTTGATCTAGTTCTTTATCCCTTCATTTGATGCTTAGGGTTCCAGGATTGACGTTTGTATCTGTTTCACTTAGTTGTTTGGGTCTTTGCTGTAGAGAGACAGCATGATACATCTCTCTAGGGTGCCATGTTGGCTCCACCTAACTAATTTTTTTTTCTTCATCTATGACATTTTCTGATCATAGATTAGTCAATTTCTCATTGTATTTCAATCCGTTGATATTTTTTGTTAGAAGCAAAAGGTTTTAAGAGCACTATAACTTTTTGTTGCATTGTACTTTTGTCATTATTAAATGTTATGGGTTTTCTTTTTCTCAAAAACAACCATGTGCCAGATTTTTAGCCTTTCACACTACCATTCTCCTCAATGAAATCATCTTGAGTTTTAGTTCCAGGTTATTATTTTTTTCTCTCACATTATGCATAAACGTATTTAGATGAATGGTTTCTTTACTCACCATTGTTTATTGTATCCTGTATGATCTTCCTTGGATTTATTTTTTCTGAAGTATATCCTGTTATTTCTTTTAGAGAGAGTCTGTGACTAAATAACTTGAGTGCTTGCATGTTCAAAAATAATCTTAATTTTGCTTTTCTACTTAAATGCTATTTTGGCCAGAAACACAGTTTTTTTTATTTTCCTTTGGAACTATGAAGAAATTGCTTTCTTGTATCTGTTGTTCCCAATAGGAATTCTGATGCCAATTTGATTCTAGTTCCTGTGTAAGTAAATTATTTCTTTCTCTATAGGAACTTTCAATATTAGCTTTATATCTTCGGTGTTTTGAAATTTCATCACGATGTATCAAGCTGTAGATCCTTTCTTTTTTTTTTTTTAATTATTCATCCTGCTTGGCACATGCTGGATCCTTTCAAACTGAGGACTTTTTTCAGTTGGGCAAGATTTTGAATGATTTCTTTTAATTTTTTTTTCATTTTCTCTAAATTGCTTTTATAAGGATGTTGGACCTTCCAAATATATTCTCCATATTTTTATACTGTTCTCTCATACTCTCCATTTGCCCTTTGGCTTGCATTCTTGAAGAATCCTTGGGAAATATCTTTCAGCTCACTATATTAAAGCTTTGTTCATTCTACTTTTCAGCTATCTATTGAAAATTTTATTTCTATGAATAATTTTAATTTCTGAGATCTCTAATTGATTGTTTCTTTGGAAGAAATAAGAGCCCCTTGAATCCCTCTAGGATATGTTACACTTATTTTAAAATTTTGTTCTCTTTATTAACTCTGTTGGGTTTACAGTAATATTTGCTTGTCTGTCTACTATCTTTGTGTTTGAAAATTCTCATTTGTCTATAGATATAAATTCACAGGGACTTAACTCCAGTTATTATTGTCATGGAACAGGATTATGTGTAGTGGAGAGTGCCAGTAACTTATCTTCTGGAAGTGGGACTCCCCACTCCTCCTGGCATCACTGGCTATCTGGGTCACTTTGTACCTTCCCAGCCAGGCGTTCACATTCTTTGATTTAGCTACTTGTTATCTTCTCTGCTGTCCACTGCAGAGGAATAGGGAGGAAGAAAGGGCCAAGCTGCTGTTTGCTCCCAGTGTGGTTCTCAAATAGTCATCCTGATGATTGCCTCACATCCCCCTCCCTCTCCTTTTGTCCATTGATTCTGATCTGGGAGTAACCTGTATAACTGCTCCTACTTCTACAACTGTTTCCTCATACACATGTTTATACACATGCTTAGGACTGTGTTTTCTCCATCAGGCTAAATCTCTCTGCTTTCTGCGTTTCAGGAATTCCTCCAAATTCATGATTTATTAATGAAACTCTTTCTCATTTTCAGGACTTTTACGAATCAGTTTGGAGGAAATTGACATATTAACATCGCGTATTCGTGCACACAGCCATGTTATATCTTTCCATTTGTTTAGGCCTTCTTTAATTTCTTCCAAAAATATGTTGTATCTTTCAGTGCACAGATTTTGCACACATTATGTTGATTTTATCTCTATGCAATTCATGTTTTGGAAATGTATTGTAAATTAAATTGTATTTTTTATTTTACTTTTCAATTGTTCATTGCTAATATACAGAAATACAATTGATTTTTACGTATTTAACTTTTATCCCGGGATCTTACTAGACCTACTTATTAGTTTTAGGAGCTTTTTGTAGACTCTTTAGGATTTTCTGGCTATTAAGTATGATTGTAGCTGTAGATTTTTCAAGTTGATGAAGTTCCCTTTTATTTTTAGTTTGCTGGGAGTTTTTATTATGTGTGGGTGCTGGATTTTTTAAATGTCTTTTCTAAATCAATTGAGATGGTTATTTAGTTTTTTCCCTTTATTCTATTAATATGGTCACTTAAATTGATTTTCAGATATTAAATCAATTTGCATTCCTGGAATAAGCTTCCACTTGTTCATTTTATATATTGTTGGATTCAATTTGCTGATATCTTATTAAAGATTTTTGTGTCTATGTTCATGAGGGATGTTAGTCTGTAGTTTTCTTTATATATATATATAATTGCTGGATTTTAGTATCAGTAAAACTGGCCTCTAAAAGGATTAATTTATTTTCTATTTTCTGAAAGAGTTTGTATAAGATTGATATGATTTTATCCTTAAATGTTTGATAGAATTTACCAGTAAAGCCACCTAGGCCTGGAATTTAACTAATGAGAAAGTTTATAGTTACAAATTCAATGTAAAAGATATAAGGATATTCAGATACTCTATTTTTTTCTTGTGTCAGTTTTCATTATTTGTGTCTTTCAAAGAATCTGGTTGTCCATTACATTTAAGTAGTCTAATTTATTGGCTTAATACTGTTCATAATATTCCATTTTCATGCTTGTAATGTATGTGAGAGCTTTAGTAGTGTCCTAATATCATTCTTGATATTAGTAATTTGTATTTACCCTTGCTCAGTTGAGATATTGGTCATTTTAAAAAATATTTCAAAGACTCAGTCTTTGTTTTCACTGATTTTCTCTATTGTTTGCTCCTGTCTCATTGATTTCTTCTTTTGCCTTTGTTTCTTTTCCTTCTATTTACTTTGCCTTTAATTTACTCTTTTTTCCCTAGCTTCCCAATAAGAAAGCTAAGGGCAATTTTAGACCTTTGCTTTTTTCTGGCATAGGCATTTTAAGTTATAAATTTCTCTCTAAGCACTACTTTAGCTGCATCCCACAAATTTTGATATGTTGTATTTTCATTACCATTCAGTTCTCATTTCTCTTGTGATTTCTTCTTTGACCCATGGGTTGTTTAGAAGTGAGTTAATTTCCAAATATTTAATTTTTCTAGATTCCTTATAGTAGCTGATTTCTAATTTAATTCTATTGTGATCAGAGAACATTCTCTGTAATATTTTAGTATTTTGAAATCTATTGAGACTTGTTTTATACTGTTGCTCTTGGTGAATGGAAAGGATGTGTATTCTGCCGTTTTAAAGTTTAATGTTCTATACATGTCAGATAGGTTAAAGTGGTTGATAGTGTCATTTAAATCTTCTATATCCCTACTGATGTTTTGTCTAGTTTTTTTTTTTTTTAATCCGTTACTGAAAGAGGGATGTTAAATCTTCCACTATTATTGTGTAGGATTTGTCTGTTTTTCCCTTTCGTTTAGTTAGTTTTTACCTCTTGAAATTTGAAGCTGTATTACCAAGCGCACATACATTTATAAATGTTACTATTTTCATGATGTCTTTACCCTTTTATTATTATAAAATTACATTTCCCTCTTTCAAGGATAGGATATCTTCTTTTTCTAGTCTCTGCCTTTTTTTTTTTTTTCCACCAGAGTCCCTGGGATGATCTCTACTTATGTGTGGTTTAGTGGTCACCCAGAGATTTCAGCATAGTTTATACTCAGATTTTGAGTCACATCCCTTCTGTGGTTCTCTCATTTCCAGGATTTCCCCCTTAAATTTCTAGCTGTTCAGGTAAGGCTACAGTTGTCTACAGCTTTGAGGGCAAGAAAGCCACAAATTCTCAATACTTCTTTCTTCCAGCTGCAGATTTTGAAGAATGTACTTGCCTTCAGCTTCAGTCTGTTTTTGGATGTATTCAGTGCCATCAAATAGTACTTTTTAAAGATATTTCCTCCAGATTTTAAAATCGCTATTGGTAGAAGTTGTATGAACAACTTTACTACCATTACTGGAAGTTTCTTCTATAGCATTATTTTTTTATCCATAAAACATTTTGGAGTAAGAAATGAGAAAAGATGGGGGATGTGGCTAAGAAGAGTGATATTACTTCGGTAAACAGAATTCCTGTTTTCTCAGGCCTCTGTCACAACAAAATTAATTACACTATGTTCTGATTGACCTAAGTACCTCATGCAGTAAAATTGGAAAGTTTTAAGTCATCGTTTCTAAAGTTGTTTGCTTTTATTATTAGGAATTGAATGACCTTCATATAGAAGTGCTTTCAGTGATAGCCAATTGCCTTGAAGATATGGATACTATGGTGCTGATTCAGCAGACAGGGGGTCTTAAAAAGCTCCTAACGTTTGCAGAAAACTCTACAATTCCTGATATCCAGAAGAATGCAGCAAAAGCAATTACTAAAGCAGCTTATGATCGTATGTCTTATTTTACTTAAACTAAGCATACATAATCCTTCTTGTAGTTTGATTTTGATTAATACTAACAAACAATAGAGTATTTCTTAGCTTTTAAATAACCACTCAATAATAGTGGTATAATTATTCCTTAAGACCAAAACTCACCTCAATGCCAATGAGTTAGAAATTGCTTTGTCAGGGATATAATAAGCTCAATAGGATTTAATTATAATGCAGTCTTTTTTTAACAATCATTGATAGACTAAGTCTTAAGCCTTTATTTCTCTTGAATTTGGAATTCTACAGAATGTGCATTATTTTTTTTATTTTGAAACCTTTGTTTAAATAAATCTGCATTTGGAATGTATCAATGCAGTAATTTTCAAGTTTCAGTTGGAGTCTAATAGTGTCATGTTGTATGAGAAGCAGTATGTTCATACTATATACATAAGATTTTCATTTCAGTGACAAGCTATGTTGATATAAATCTATAAAATATGAGAGATTATTTACATCACAAGCATCAAAAATGAAATTATAGTTTTAATTTATATATATTTGGAGTATTTTATTTAATAAAAAATGTGGTTTTATTTCCCGCTTCTGCATCACTCCTCTTACAAATGGTGACAGCTTTTGCTATTTTAAATGATGTATATTCTAAATACATATACTCACACCTATATATATGTCTATGTGTATATTATGGAAAACATTTTCTTTTTCAACCCATACTGGATTTCTTTAAGGCAAATTTTGAATGTGGGAAGCAGAATTTCATGGTACATAGTCAACATAGTGGGGCTTCATGAGTTACATTATAAATGTAAAATCTAAAGACAGACTATGAAATTACGATTTAAATATTCGCCAAAGTTGCCTTATGCAGAATTTTGTCAAATGGAACTTGGATGTTATCATAGCTAGTCATTTCTGTTTTCCATCTATCATAGGCCTTCACGGCTACTGAGACCTCAAGAGAGGTGTAATGGCAAGACATGGACAATGTCAAACCTAAGATTTTTACATATCTCAGCTTCTCTTTGGTCTAATGTGGCTCAGTCATTCTAAGTTTGTTCCAGCCCGTCTTGGGGTAGTGAGTTTCATTAGTTTAACTCATGGAGTAGTGAGTTTCATGTGACATAGTAGTGACAGAGCACTGGACAGAGTTCCTGGTGTTCTAGTTCTAGTACTAATTCCACTACTGGCAAGGTGGGATTAAGGCATGTGAGGGTGCTAAACCCTGATAATCTGTAGTGCACCCTCCTCTGCTTACTCACACATTCGAACAGGATATATGAGTTGTATATAAAAACATGTATATATATGTGTGTGTGTGTATGTGCGTGTGTTGGCTATCCATGATGTAACTTCTTTTTAAATGCAACTATATTATTAGCAATTGAACACAAAAGTGGCATATGCCATTTAGTGGAATGAGATGAGCTGGATTATGAAATTTTTAGTGGATGCAGGGTACTAAGATTTTTACTGTATAACACATTTTCTACAAAAAGAATATTCCACATATTCTATAACAAAGAAAATGAGTCAGTGACCTTAGTTATTTCAACAATCAATGTAAAATTCTGTTGATCTCCCACAAAGAAAAATGACTTTCACTAATTTTGCTTTAAATGGCTCATACTTCAATTTTGATGCTTATTTTGTAATAAATGCTATAATTATAAATGATCAAATGAAAAGATGTCATAAAAGAAAATTTAATGATCATAAAACAAATATTACAACAAAGTATATTTTATTTTTAGCTAGATCGTTCATCTCTAACATGTTATAATTAAAAACATTTCTTTCTATTCTTTGCGTCTACAAATTCTTCAGTGATTTCATCATCACGATTAAGCTGCTGAACAATATCTACTTCACTACATAATAAGGATAATGAATTTAGTCCTTCTTGAATCATGGTTGTATGCTGAGGGTTTTTCAGTCTCTAGGGGCAAAAATGAGTGTTCTGTTGTACAATTTGTGATCATTACAGTTAGGAATATGCATAAAGCAATTTCAACATCGGGAAATATGCATTGTATTTTATCTTCTATTATGGAATCATACATGCCTACATAAGTAAAATTTGTCTTTCTTAAATCTGTGAACTTAGTTCTCATGTAAGACTGAAATTGTTATAAAGGTTTGTATTTAAGTCATCGGGATAAGCCTGTGCTAATTTATTGGATGCCTTCATGCATTCTTCATCAGGTATATCCATATTGTTTAAGAAGGAAAATCTAGTTGAAAGAACTTCATACACTTTCTCCCTTCTTTTCATGCAAAAGTCAAGTGTGTCAATGATGGTGTAGTATTTGGTCACAAGAAATTGATCTCTGGCACTCAGTGATACTTCTGGAGCACTCTCGTCATTTACTTGTTTCTTTCTAATGTTTCTGCGACAGTGAACTGCTTGATAATCAGTATTTGGCAGTATTTGTTTTGTTGTATTTTCAAAATCTTGTCTTAAAGTATGTAAATACCCTGTTAATGACTAGTAGAGGTTTGTGCATGTCTTTAAATTTACTTCTGAATCTTGGAGAGCTTGAATCATCCGATGAAAATGCTGCAGTATATTATTCCACATACCCAACGTAAATACATACTCTGGTGTTTGCATTTTGTTAGCGATGTTTTCGGCCTCTTTTTTAGTATCTCCTTTTGTGTTTGGTCTTCAGCAATATTTTCTAAGGCACCTGGAATCTGAGCGTATGATTCCAGGATTGCACTCATTGCAACAGCACGCGCTTCCCAACATGTATTAGAAAGACATTGTAATACTCGATCATTGCCTAAATATGTTTTAAGAACTGCCCATCGGTGAGTAGAGGCAGCAAAAAATATGTAGAGTAACTGAACAGTAGAAAAAAAGTCAGCTGCTTCCAGATGACAATCTACTGCGCTATGTCCTACAAGATTTAGTGACTGTGCAGCACATGGTATGAAATGCCATATTCTTTACATTCTAAAATTGTTGCATACTTTTATAATACCCGGACATATTGGCAGCATTACCATAGGACTGACCTTTGCACTTAGAAAAATCAGTTTTGCAGACTTCAGATAAATAGTGAAGTACTTGATCTGCAGTTTCTTCACCCGTATGACTTTTTAAGCTAGTAAATACGGTAAATCGCTCAACAGGTTTTCCATCTGTTGGAAATATGTATCTTAAACAATACTTAGCTGATTTGTGTGAGAAACATCAAGAGTAGAATCTACAGACAAACCAAAATATCAAGTTATACTTATTTCACTAAAAATAGTTGATGCAACTTTATCACTAAGTTTATTAATTTTTCACATGTTGTTTTAGACGTATAAGATGGTTTGCCCTTTCCTGTGTTACCATATTTTGAGATGTGACCTGCTAAAAATGGATCAAACTGAGCAACAAGTTCAAGTAAACACAAAAAATTTCATTTTGTGGGGACCCAAACACTTCATTTTTTTCTTGAAAAGATAGTGCATTTTCAACAATTGTTATAATGACAGCAACAACATGTTGCAAAATGGCTTTCCAATACTGGCATTCTTCATTAATTTGTATTTCCAGTTCATGAGTTAAGCCAAAACCATGTCTTTGGTTTAAATATGACAAAATATAATCTCTGTCAATTGAACTGTTTTCATGTTTATCAATCATATTCGAGTTGCGCCAATAGTTAAATTCATCCATAACAAATCAGGAAGTAAATGATTTAGGTTTGAATAGTTTGCAAACCAAACAATCTACAGAGCCAACTGATAGAGAATACAATAGCCACTCCCTCTTATAATTTTCACCATTAGCTTTGCACCCTAGAAATGTATTCTGGCTACAGAACCTGTTTGTTTACCATCCAGAAATTTTTGACACAAATTTTCAAATTGTCCACTGTTATGCTGACAATCATTTAATTTAATTTAATTAATCAATAATTTACATCATTAACACACTGCCGTGGAGGGATTCCAACTCATAGTGACCCTGTAGGACAGAGTAGAACTGCCCCGTAGGGTTTCCAAGGAGCAGCTGGTGGATGCAAACTGTCGACCTTTTGGTTAGCCACTGAGCTCTTAACCACTGCGCCACCAGGGCTCCATTTACATCATTAGAAGAAAAGGTATTCCACAAAGCAGGATCTGTATTTCTGTTATTTATGAGTTCTACATATATGACAATTTCAGATTCTAAAATAGTTTCACTTTTGACATAATTATTTTTTTTACTATAGCAAGAAATGGACGCAGAATTTGGAACAAATTCTGTTATATTCATATTGCTATTAGTAATTTCAGCACTAGCGGTACTAGTACAAAAATTTGTACCCAAGTGTTCAATGGAAGAAGTCTCTTCTGATTCATTACGTTGTAAAAAGGAAGTTAATTTTGGAATTGTCTTTAGGGAGTCACAAATACTTTTCTTATTATCTTCTGTGAGCATTCATTTTTGCACTCCACTTAGTTGTTGCCAGTTCATTTTACTGGATATAAAATTATGTCACTTTTTAAATTTCATTTTAACATAGCAAATAAATTTGAAAAACTGAAAATAAATAAAATTTACAAAACAAGTAAAAGTAGGACTTCTGGCAAAATGGCACTCTAGGCAGAAGCAGCACACCGTCCCTCCACAGCAAAGATCTGAAAACTAAGCCAAACAGAGAAAACAGCAATCCTGAAACCCTAAAACATCAAATGAAGAGATAAAGAACTCAGCCAAGCACCAAATGGAGTGAGAAAACTG